TTCCCCCAATGTCCCCTCCCCCCACCCCATTGACCCCCTGCACCCTGCCTTCCCCACCTCCTCCAGGCCTTCACCACCCTATTGTTTGTGTGTCTATGGGCTGTGCATATATGCATATAAATTCCCTGGTTAATCTCTCTCCACTCTCCCCGCTCCACCCGCCCCACACACACACCCTCGCCTCCCTCTGAGATTCATCAGTCATCACAACAATCCTAAGGTGAGGGAAAAGCTCACACAAGTTGTCTAGTTTTGTTTTGTCACAGACAAATTGTGTGACCTTAAATTTATTCTTAATCTCTTCTAATGATGGAACATAACACCAAACACCTACCTCACAGGAATACTGTGAGTATGGAAGGTCAGATAGCACTTTATTAACTCAAATAATGTTACTTTGAATCTAATCTGATTGGAAATAAAAATTTGAGACAAAGCTCATTTGCCAGTAAGAAAAAAAAAGCTGTTAATAATTTGTAATGTAATGATGTGGAGATAAAAACAATATGTGCCATAGAAGCATTAAAATATATTTAGTGTGCCAAACCGGTTTGGCTCAGTGGATAGAGCATCGACCTGGGGACTGAAAGGTCCCAGGTTCGATTCTGGTCAAGGGCATGTACCTTGGTTGCGGGCACATCCCCAGTAGGAGGTGTGCAGGAGGCAGCTGGTCGATGTTTCTCTCTCATCGATGTTTCTAACTCTCTGTCCCTCTCCCTCCCTCTCTGTAAAAAAATCAATAAAATTTAAAAATAAATAAATAAATAAAAAAAATATATTTAGTGATCAGCAGTATTAATATAACAGAGAATGTAAACATTAAAGGAGGCTGTAGACCAGTCATATTCACTCCATACAGAAATGAAAATTTTATATATAGGATGTGAAAAAGTACAAATTATCCATTTCAATATGCAATTATTCCTCTCTAGACCAGTGGTTCTCAATGGGACAATTTTGCACCTCAGGGGACATTTGGAAATATTTGGATACATTTCTGGTTGTCATAGCTGGTAAGGAGGTGCTACTGGCATCTAGTGAATAGAATTTAGGGACCCTGCTAAACATCCTAGGATGCACAAGGCAGCCTCACTCCTCCACAACAAAAATCATCCTGCCCCTGAAATAGTAGTGTTGTTTGAGAAATCCTGCCCTGGAGGCTAAGGTTGCATTCTTCATTTTCCTGAAGTCACACACCCTGGTGTGTTCCTTTAGGGAAATTGCCATGAGTCTTTTCACTGATCTTTCTCATCTACATGTCAAAAGTAAGTATTGCTAAGCATGTGGAACATTTTGATGTGAAATAATGACCATGTGTTTTCACAGCATTTTGAAAATATTAAGGACTGTAGAATTGTGAATAATTATGAAAACAACTCTTAACAGTTTTGTTTCCAGAATTAACACACATTAGGATGAAGGAAATATGAAGTATATGAACATGAAGATTTTATAATATTGTTTTTATTTATAAAAATCTCAGAAGGTATAGTTTATTAACAATTGAGTGTCTGTCCATGATGTAGATACAGGGGACTGGGATGGAGTAGAGACGAGGGGAGTTACTTATTCTCTATGTTGATTCTTATAGGAAATTCTGACTTTTTTCCAATAATGATAGTTGATACTAATTCAACTGAGTGTATGACCATTTAGTTACTGTAAATCCTACTATATAATTTAGTCATGGTAAAATTTACTTTTACATTTAAGTTGTGTGCCCATTGTTTGTGAAAAAAACTTGAGAGACTTGAACATTAAAGTGTAAAATATGGTTGCATTTCTGATTTTTCATCTTGCTGATTAAACACTCTACAAGTGTCTTTGAAGTTGTCTGTTTTTGAGGAATTGAATATAATTAATTTTATCAGCATTTAAAAAAGGTTATTTCCACTTCATTTACCACATAAAGGACTCTTCCTGCATACAATATCTATATATATAAAAGCCCAGCGACTGTTATGGTGGAACGACCAGACGACTGGTAGCTATGATGCACTCAAGGCAGGAGCTGCCTTCTGGTGGTCAGTGCGCTCCCACAGTGGGAGCGCTGCTAAGCCAGAAGCTGGCTTATGGCTGGCGAGCGCAGCAGCAGTGACAGGAGCCTCTCCCACCTCTGCGGCAGCACTAAGGACCCCTCGGTGGATGTCTGACTGCCAGCTTAGGCGGACATCCCCCGAGGGGTCCTCGACTGCAAAAGGGCGCAGGCCGGGCTGAAAGACCACCCCCCCCTCCAGTGCACGAATGTCGTGCACTGGGCCTCTAGTATAGATTATAAAAGTGTAAGCAAATAAACATGCAAAATTTTGTCACTGAAGAATATATTATATTTTAAGTAATTAACACTATTTGAAAATAGAAAGTAACATTTAATACTGGCTATTTCTTAGTCATTATCTCTTTGAATATTCCCCCCTTTTCCATTTTTTCTATTCTATAACTCTTTTACTCCTATTACATGACTATTGCAACTCTTTATCCTAGTCTCCATGCCTTCTAATCTGGTTCATAATTTCTATCCTTTTATATTTATGTGATGCATCCTGGATAATTACAAAAAAAAAGTTATTTAAGATCTAAACAGAAGTAAAATACAATGTAATTTTGAAGTAGAGACAAAAAATAGGGCCCATTGTTGAGGTAGACAGAGAAAAAAAGAAGATGGGTGAGTGAGGTGGAAAGACAAGAGATAGGAGACAGAAGAATACATAGATTTACCTTCCTGCTGAGGCCATGCATGGCATTATATAATGATGGTGAAAGCCAGGATGGCCAGGCAAAGACAAAATTTCAAAAAATGGGAGGAAAGAGTCAAGAAATACCTTATTTCCAGTAGAAGAGGCAAGGGCTTGACTCAAGGCGGGCTGTTAACAGGCAGTGATCAAGCAGAGAGGAGAGGCATGGGGGAGCTTCCGAGGAAAATATTGTGGTGACATAATTCAGAAAATGCAAGCAATGACCCCCTTCTCCCTGGAGCATTCAATGTCCTCGGTTCTTTTTCATAATAATCAGGTCTTTGATTTTTATAACTCAGCAAATACCAGAGAACAGAGGGACTTCTTCTTGGCTTTTGAATGTCAAAAATCTAGCTCTTAGGCTAACAAGCATAAAATATCTTGGAAGGTAAGAGCTAGGTTCTGGGACCCCTAGAATAGAAATGGATTCTCGAGTCTGGGAGGGTAAGAGGGAAGTGGTGAGAGTTAATATATTGGTGAGTCTGAAGAAGGGTCTCTGTGGGTCACTGTTCCTCCTACTGAGCCCTGGGATGGCAATAGCAAATCACCCTAAGTTTACAGGATTTGAAGATAAACAAAACTCATGCCCATTTCCTGGTTAGAGCTTAGAGCCAAAAGACCTCAGTAAATACATAGCTGAGTGATATGTCTGGGCAGGCATGCGGCTTTGGGGTGTTGGAGAGACTTGACCGTGTTTAATAAGCACAGAAGCAGAAATTGCTGAATGAGGTGTCCAGGCAAATAGCAATTCAACCTCACAATTTCCTACAACCTAGTATAATAGAAGGTAAGGAAAGAAACCCATATGGGAATTAGACAAACAGGCTGAGACCTGTTTAGAGTTGACAATGATTTTATGGTTTCTAAACAGAACATGAATATTATATAATCTTAGACAATTAAAAAAATCGAGGCAGGTGGGGGAGTGGTGATAGGAGGAAGAAATACTACTCTCTGTATAGTAAGCACTCAATAGTGTAGCTGAATATTTATTTCAACCTCAATGCTTTTCATGATCCCTTTTTCAAACATACTCATCTGTGTTCACTGATGTATTCCTAGCCTTTAGAACAGTCTGGCTCAATAAATGTTTGTTGAATGAATGAATTCATACAATTCCTGTCTCTTGAGAGTTTTCATCCACCTTTTTTGCTTGTTTGCTTCTATTTTTTTTTTACAATATATTTTTATTGATTTCAGAGAGGAAGGGAGAGGAAAACAAATATCAACAATGAGCAAGAATCATTGATCAGCTGTCTCCTGCACGCCCCCTACTGGGGATAGAGTCCGCAACCTGGGCATGTGCCCTTGACTGGAATCGAACCCAGGACCATTCAGTCTGCAGGCCAGTGCTCTATCCACCGAGCCAAACCAGCGAGGGCTGTTTGTTTTTAAATGAGAGTCATGGGTTTGATTCCCTAGGAAGCAGAGTCTGAAAGGTGGTTTAATGTGCTTAATGTTTATTATGGAGTGCCTTGAGGATCAACACAGAAGCAGGGTTGAGCAGAGCTGCAGGTTGAGCTGTAATGCAGATCCAAGGACAATCCCCCCCCACCCCGCCTGCCTACAGACTACGCAGGGAGAGGAGCCCTTCAGAGTTACCCCAAGTTGGGCCAAGACAGCCAAGCTTTCGTATTCCTGCATCAATTAATTCAGTGGTTCTCAACCTTCCTAATGCCGAGACCCTTTAATACAGTTCCTCATGTCGTGGTGACCCCCAACCATAAAATTATTTTCGTTGCTACTTCATAACTGTAATTTTGCTACTGTTATGAATTGTAATGTAAATATCTGATATGCAGGATGTATTTTCATTGTTACAAATTGAACATAATTAAAGCATAGTGATTAATCACAAAAACAATATGTAATTATATATGTGTTTTCCGATGGTCTTAGGCGACCCCTGTGAAAGGGTC